TAAATGAAAACATTTAATTGGGGTAGCTCACTTACAGTTTCAGAGCTTCAGTTCATTATCATGGCATGGATCATGGTTACTTGCAGCAGACATGGTGCTGGAGGAGTAGCTGAGAGTTCTACATCTTGCAGGCAACAGGAAGTCAGCTGAGACACTGGGTGATACCTTGAGCATAGGAAACCTAAAAGTCCACCCCTACAATGACACATTTCCTCCAAAAAGGCCATACCCACTCCACCAAAGCCACATCTCCTAATATGAGATTGAAACTACCACAGGATGTATTGGGATTTTCTATTCTGTTTGCCACAGACTCTACATTTTCTTTTAAATTACTCTGAATAGGAGGAGAGAAGATAGAGGTGCAGTTAATCATGTCCCTCAAACCACAAAATCCAGCAACTCCACTGCCTGTCTTCTACTGTGCTCTGTAGCACACCTACTCACATTGATCTTGCTTCTGCAGCTTCTCTGGCACTAAGATTGGTCCTGGGACCCTCCACAACTTCCAAAGTGCCCAAGAGCCTGCCAGCACCTTGCTGTTTGAGATAATTGATTTCACCCTTGCACCTCAATTATGAGCTTCTCTGCCTCTTTGTCCAAATGTAGCTTTAGCTCTTTTGTGCCTTACTGGTTTCAAGACCCAGCACTCATTTATTAATTCCATTGGTACTTTGCAGTTAGGCATCAGCTCAGTGCCATTTAAATGGGCATATTTTTCCACATACCATGTCCTTCAAATCTGAATCCACTTCCATCAACCTTTGTCTCTCTTCCCCCCACCCTTGCACACACACACACACACACACACACACACACACACACACACACACACACGGAGGGGACAGAGTGTGTGTGTATGCTTGCACATTACTATAAACTTTTGTTGCATGGGCACCCACAGTGTGCATGCCATTAACCCCAGTGGTCACCTTTTAGTGCTATAGATCTCTCTTGTACTGTGTCTTCCATGTTGTCATCAGCTCTATTTGAACCAGCATCTGCCCTACTGCTTCACTGCAATATCCCATGCAAACTTCACTAATGGACTCTTTGTTGATCCAGATAATGGTCACTGTTATCTTTTGCCTTGTTGACACATGAATGAAGATGTCAATAGTCTAGAAACACCCTCTACCACCATTTGCTGGTGACCCTCAGTCTCCATCACAGACATGTCTCTTCTCTGTTGTAGGCTGGTTCCACCAGACTAGAGTATTAGTTCAGTTGTTCAATGGTCCAAAATATAGAGTCAAGCTTATACATGCCATTTACACTTTCTGTGGACATGTCCTTGCTTGCAGTGTATATATGAATCTGGAGTTTTATTTCTTGACCAGATACCTCCTGGGTTCTTAGAAGTAACAAGTGTGCTTGCTCTAACAATTACTAGTTATTTCCTAATGCTATTAATGATAAGAATGGCAGATAAGTTTTGTTGCATACTGACCATGTGTGAGACACTACACAATGTTTCAAAAGGATGCAAGAAGTTGGAAGTGTTCTAAATCTCATTTTTATGTGTATGTAGGACCTAGGGACACTTAACTAATTTATTAGTGAATATTAATCTACCATCTATTTGGAGATCTAGAATTCAACCCCCCCCCCCTGCCCTATCTGCAGAAGAGCACAGAGGATAGGGCTCTGCCTGATGCTGCCTCTACTTCCACTGTCAGTCTAGATGTTCTGAACCAGACTGTCTTTTGCTTGCTCCTTCATCAACCTCAGTACCTGGCACAGTCATATAGATTACTATCTGTAGCTCACCTCTCTCAACTGTACCCAGCATCTTGGTCTTATGAAATCCTAGATAATTAACAAGTAAATGGTCTTTCACGATTTGTATAAACTAGTGTACTTTCTCTTAACTTAAGAGGGAAAGCATGATGTGTGTGCTACAGTTGGGTCCAAGCTAGAACAGGAACACACAGACTTTATGACTAGCATCTCTGATTTCATCCTTAAACCACACACATAGCAAGCAAGGCATGCAACAGTTTGATATTTGTTAAATTTGATAATTCACAACTGACAAGGGGTGCTTGCTGCTATTCTGATCAATGGCTAGTTTGGTTCACTTATGAAAACACAGCTTCTACATTAGCATTTTGTTTAGATGCAGCTTGAATAATAAGTTGCATTGCATGCATACACACACAAATAAGCAATAAATGTAAATTTTTATTTCTAATGCAGCATTAGAAGTACAATGCAACTTAGGGAACTGTTCTCACAGCAGTAACTAAAAGCTCTTCTTCCATATCTCATGTTTTTATTTCTCTGCTATCACCCTGGTCAGCTGGGAAGAGCCTTCTCCCTTTTGTCTACTCCTACACTTAGTCTAATAAGCTGTTCATCTTAACTATTAGAGATTTACACAGTTGCATTTGCTCTCTCCTGTGATTCTCCCAGCTTTTTCTTCATGAAATTCTTCTTGAAGTACAGTTTTGATACTGGATACCCTTATGAAATATCCCTGTTGCCCACAGGATAGCATGCAATCTCTTGGCAAGATTCAGTGTTAGCATTAGGCTGGCCAGCCTCCCAATCCACCTTAATTTCCCATATTTACTCTTCACACAAACATTTCTGGCAAACTACTGTTTTTTTTGTCAATTATTCCACCTTTCTGTTTTGAATTTCCTGGGGTTGCCCATGTCTGCACTTTGACAGCCTGGAAGCCCCTCTTCTTCTTGTGATAGGCACAGCCTATGAAAAAGACTCTTCCTTGGAGTACTGGGGTTCTCCTGAAACTTAGTCTTATATTTCAAATCTCCAATTCCTTTTCCCAGCCTATGCTTTATATATAAGGTCAAGGTAGTATATGAGTTCTTTTTGTATATTCCTTTATCACCCAGGCTAGGACCTGGTAAAGATGACTACACAGCAAACATTTGGAGGACAGGGAAACAATAATAACATTGAGTAATCTGCACAAGTCCTTGTAGGTATACTACAGATGTGCTTATGTGAAAGTTGGTAAAGTGCTTAAATCTCAACCTGTAAAAAGTGCCAGGGATTCTCATGTGGGGGACCTAAAGACCTGCCTATTTTGGTTACTCAGGATTAGGATTAGTAATGCCTAATGGTCATTGGAGAGTATTCTAGGCCCAAGAGAAAACGGACAAAATCTCCTTAGGACAGACAATACCAGATACATCATTTGAAAGGGCCAAGGAAAACAAAAAACACAAGGCCACTTGTTTAGGAAGTCTTAAGAAACTTAAGAGTGTGACAACAGTGTTTGGATCAGGGAGAAACCCTGTGAAATTACAGAGGCCATAGGCTGACCAAGGTGGTTCTTTCAAGCAGCTATGAAGCAGAAGAGGCATAACCATGCTCTGTAGTCATTTCTCCTCTGCTGCATCAGAGTCTGAAGCAGTGGTTCTCAACTTCCCTAATGCTGGCACCCTTTAATATAGTTCCTCATGTTGTGGTGACTCCTAACAATAAAATTATTTTCATCGCTACTTCATAACTATAATTTTGCTACTGTTATAAATCATAATGTAAATATATATATATATATATATATATATATATATATATATATATATTTATATATATTTCCAGTGGTCTGAGGCAACCCCTGTGGAAGGGGCTTTCACCCCCAGATGGGTCACGACCCACAGATTGAGAACCATTTATCTGAAGGAACCCCCCCCCCTTTATGTTGGGCTCAGTGGTAGTAGGCCACACAAAATTTTATGCAGGGCAGTAAAAAATGCTTGTTGAGTGCCTTCTGTGTACTCAATGTCTAACTTTGAGGGATGTGGTTGAAAAGCTGAGATATATGGTGTGTGTGTGTGTGTGTGTGTGAGAGAGAGAGAGAGAGAGAGAGAGACAGAGACAGAGAGAGAGAGAGAGAGAGAGAGAGAGAGAGAGAGAGACAGAGAGAGAGAGAGAGAGAGAGAGAGAGAGAGAGAGAGAGAGAGAGAGAGACTGAGCTTACTTCAGTGACAACAACTCACTATAAACAAAGTCAGAAAGAAATGCCCATAAAAATAAACAGGTAGAGAGCAGTGCTCAGAACATAACAAAGCAGAGTGATGCAATGGGGAGAGTGGTGCAGAGGGTTTATTAGATTAGTGTGCTACAGCAAAACCTCTCCACAGAGCCTTCAGGCCCACAGTGCTTTTAGAGCGACAGGTGAAGGAGGAGGATGCTAGTGATCAATAAGAGCTTGTCATGCAAATCTCTGAAATCATTTCAGAGGGTCTATGCAAAAGAAGTACTCCAAGGATGCTGGTGTGCAACCCCACCTCTCGGCTTTCTCATTTCTTCTTTTGGTATTCTCTGGAGCGGAGACCTAAGGAAAAAATGCCTGCCTTATTGCAGAGAGGCAGTTTCCAAAGCCTACTCTCATACCCAGGCCCCAAGGCTGAGCAGGAAACAATTTTGAGTCGGTACCCCTATGTAATTCAGTCTTACAGTGAATGCCTTTGCCTGATACTCTGCTGGTGACTGTTCCCTTGCCTCCTGGGGACACATGGAATTGACCTATAGAGTGATTCAGAACAGAGGTTACTAAGGTTGCTAGGGAGAACCCTTAAGCATCTCTTCTTCCCTGTACCAACGGTAGTGGTATTGTCCAGCTTCCTTCGGATTTCAGCAGATGTGTGGAGGGTGTGGAGCAAGTCCAGGAAAAATCAGCGATGCTAGGGGAAGATGTGAAACAGCATGGGGCTCAACAGGTAGTAAGGAAGAACATAAGGACCTCAGAGCTAGTCAGGGGTCTGGAAGGGGTCACAGCAAAGTGCCCCCCCTCCCCCGCCTGTGTGAGCCTACTCTAGCCCAGCCAGTCGAGTCTCGCCAAGCCACAACCGCTAGCGCTTTTTCCCCAAGCCCAGGGCCTCACGCTGCAGGCACGCCTCCTCCTCACTCCTCCTGCCCCCCGCCCTGGCTGTCTGGCAGCGCCGCAGTGCTGGCGGCTGGGGGCCCTGGCGACAAAGCTCCCTCCTCTTCACCCCTCCGCCTTACCGCCCCAGCCTCGCTCCCCGCTGCCGCAGTGATCACGTCGTCGGAGATTTCCATCGGGGCTCAGGGGGCGGGCCCATGGTGCGGAGCGCGATCTGGGGCGGGGCGAGTGGGAGGAGTGAAAGTTGGAGCGCAACAAAACCCTCCACATCTCTCTGAGCAGCAAGATCTGCGCTGCGACCTCAACACAGGTGGTCGTGCCAGGTACCGCCGAGATGTTACCCAAAGTTCTCCTGATGCTCCTCAACATATTCCTGGCCCTCCAGTGGAGGTGAGTCTCCATCCCACTACCCGAGAGCCCTCTGTGCCCAGGAGGCTTCCGGACTCCCGGGGCTCCTTATCCCAGCTCCGGCTTTGCTAGGGGCTATCCTGATGGCTAGGCCAACCTGGACACTTGTCCCCTCGATACGCGCCACCCTCCCGTGTGCCCCCTTGTAGGAGGGCGTCCCGGACTGACTATGGGGAGCGCGGGGAAGGAGGTGGGACCGTCTTCTGTTGGAGTCGTGGACTCTGGTTGGCCCTCAAAGCCCCGGAGCGGGCGGGCAGGCAGCAAGAGCACCTGGTTCCCTCTGGGAGCCTGACGCAGGAAGAGGGGAAAGGGCGCGCAGAAACCGCTAGAGCTAGCGCATACAACTCAGGGTTGTGCTGGGGACTTCGGGAAGGTGGCTACTGGGCTAGGGGACCTGAAGTGCCTCGAAATGCTTGAGTGTTTCCTAGTCTGTTCACTCTTGCTCACATTTTTCTCCCGGAGTACCTGCTGAATACCAGGCATGATGTCAGGCAACTCTGACTTTACTTGTTTCCCCATCCCTTCGCGTCGCGTTTTCCTTCCAGTCCCAGACAGGAGGAGCCTGAGCCTTGCTTATCTCAGGGTTCCCATCCCATCTGCCTTCCTTTTCCCTTCTCACACCAAGGCATTCTGTGTGGTCTTAGGGGCAGACCTGAGCCAGAATGTTTTTCTTTCCTGAGGTCTGTGGTTTGTGGCCTGGATTTCTAGCCCCTCCCTTTTTCTGTTTTCTCTTGAGCAGCCAGTGTCCCTCCCATAATTCCCTGACCCTGGGCATTGGTAAGAAGGATGTTCCTAGGATTTCTGGCATTTTGTGATGGAAGATGAGTGTTTCGTGTGTTTTTAAATTCTCTTTTCTTTCTTTCTTCCTTTCTTCCTTCCTTCCTTCCTTTCTTTCTTTTCTTGGAGACTGTTTTTTGTGGGGTATGTGCTGTCAGAAGTTCTTAAGCTTCCTGATATGCTAAGGTTTCTAGAAGATTCTATGGCATTGGGCTTGTGTCTTGTCATTAGTTTGTTTTGAGGAGGGGCAATATGTCTTCTCTTCCCACCCCAGGTTATAGCTCCTCAGGGAGGCATATGTGGCTCTCTTCTGACTCCCTGGTGCCCAAGGTGAGGCTGGCCTCCTCAGCAGGGCCTTCGTAAATATTTCTAAGTGCATACTAGCAATTTCTTGTTATCCATGTCCCTTTAGATGGGGTTTTTCTGGGGAAAAAGATGGCTGAGGATGAGGGAGGGGCATGATGAAGAAGGGAGGGAGATGAGAGGGGAAAACAGCCCATCTAGTGGGGGTGGGAGGAACAGACACTGATGTGCACACACTGTCAGCATGGCAACCTGTGATGTCAAGAAAGGGGAGGTGGCAGTGGAATGTGTTGGACCAAACTTAGATTTGATCCTGGTTCAGCTTCAAATCAGGTGTGTGATTTTGAGCATAGCCCTCCCCTTATATGGTTTATCTATCAATAAATTGAAAAAGTTAGCATATTTGAGAAAGAAACCCAGGGCCTTCCTCATGCTCTTTTGCTCCCCTCTTCAGCCAGATTTGGAAGGTGTTAGTGCAGAGCTTCAGTCTTATCTAGCATTTTCACATATGGAGGAGGGCTGTGGATGTCTGAAAAGCTTCCTTGGAAAATCCTACTAGGCCATGTGATTTTTCTAGGCTTTATTCTTTCTAGCCTTGAAAAAAAAACTTGGTGGCTTTTTGGAGATGAGTATGTATACACAAGAACTTCTTAACTCCAACGATCTCAAGGTGTGGCTATTTTTTTGTTTACACTGGCAAAATCAAATTGAAGGACCAAAGCAACCTCCACCCCTCATTCATCATTTTCCTTGCAGGCTATTTCAGAAATGAGAAATGGCACCAGTTTAGCACATTTGTATGCCAATTAAACTATTCTAAAGGAAAAATATGCACTTTGATGCCCAATTGCCAGTCCCCTGGTCTGCAGCACAGCAACCTGCTCACCCTAGTCTCTTGTTCTCATTTTAGGGATTAAGGTTGCCTGGTAGCTTTGAAATAACATTTTAGAAGTGTAATACACAAATATGTAAACACAGCAATCATAAATGAACAACAGCTCAGTGAATTTTCATAAAGTAAGCATGATCAGGTAACCAGCACCTCGTTGAAAAGGAAGCAATCTGCACCCCCTCCCTGCCATCCCCAAGCCACACCAAATGTGCAGTCTTCCTAAAGGAAACTGCTCTCTTGCCTTTCAACATCAAATGTTAATTAATGCTGATGTCTTTTTCAGTTGCTTTTAATTGTATTTTTTCAAGGATATATAGTAAACTGAATTTCCACATAGCCTTAACATTAATGAAGAAATTAATGATGGTTTATTTTCTCTGCCTCCTACATTCCTACCACCCATTTTAACTTAAGGTCTTTTTTTAAAGAATAAATCTCAGACTTTATATCATTTTGTATGTAAATATTGTAGTCATTAAGGGCTTCACCAATAAAAATGTCATCATTTCACCAGATATTTAAGAATGATTTATTATTGCTTCAGTGATTCAATGTTAAAATCTTTACCATATGTTTTTGACAGTTTTGGTTTTAAAAATCAGGACTCAAGTATGATCTATATATTAGCAGGTGGGATTTTTTTTTTAGTTGGGTGGAATATTTTATTGTTAAAATGCCTTTTTACTGAACTAGAACCCATATACAGAAAGTTGTTCAAATAATAAGCATATAAGTGATAAAGTATCACAAAATGTACGTAATGGGGCCCTTTCATCACTACCTGTCATGTTAACCTCAAACACTGTGGAGGACTTTCATACATTAGCAGATGGATTTCTAAAGTGTTGTTATTATTATAATTATTATCATTATTATTACTATAGTCATTGTTGGCCCTGGTACCCAAGATAGTCTCCTATTGGTTATTCATTTCCTGGGTGCAGAACACAGTATAGAGACAGCCACAAAGCACTGATCTATAGCCAGCCTTCCGCCACTTCAGAGCCTCAATATGAGTATTACGTAACCATCCCAGGAATTTTCAGTCCTACCTGCTTGCAAGTATTCTTCAGCCACCCTGTCCTTTGGCCTGCCCTGTCCTCTCAGGTGCTGCAACTCAGGCAGATGTGAGGCCCAGGTTAGTAATAGCAGGCAGCACAGCAGCTGATTGGCCAGAGTTCACAGAAAAGATGCCCACCTAATTGATTTCACATGAAATGGCCTTTGAAAATTTAGTCTAATATTTGTTGTTGACTACTTTAAAGTAAAGAATTATGAAAGGATTGCATACAAAGTCTCCAAAGAGCAATAAAATTTAAAAGGAATTATCAAGTTTAATTTGTTAGTACCTCCTCATTTACTGTTACTATTCACTAATTAAGCCTTGTGTTGTAAATATTTTTGTTTTCTCCTGTCCCCAAAGGCATCAGCCTGATTAGAGGGTAGAACTTAAGTTTTTGGTTGTATATTCTAGGGTTGGACCTCACATTAAACTGGAGAATAAACCACCTGCCCAAGATAATGTAGTCTTCGGCCCTCAGCCTCAGCCTGTGTCTAAACCTGTGCTTCAGCCTGAATCCCCTGCTTATGATGTCGTAGTCTTCGGCCCTCAGCCACAGCCACACCCCAAATCCCCTGGCCATGATGATGATGTAGTCTTTAGCTCCCAGCCTCAGCCTCTGCCTCAGCCCCAGCCAGAGCCAGAGCCCCAGCCTCAGCCCCAGCCTCAGCCACAACCTCAGCCTCAGCCCCTGGCTGGGCGCCAGCCTCTGCCCTATCCCCTGCCTTGGCCAGTGCCTCAGCCCCAGCCTGACCCAGAACCTCAGCCCCAGCCTCAGCCTGAACCCCAGCCCCAGCCTGAACCCCAGCCTGAGCCCCAGCCTCAGCCCCTGCCTTGGCCCCTGCCTGAGCCCCAGCCTGAGCCCCAGCCCCAGCCTCACCCTGAGCCCCAGCCTCAGCTCCACCCTGAGCCCCAGATCCCAGCCCAGATTCAGGCTGGGCGCCAACCCCGACCCAGGCCCCAGCCTGAGCCCCAGCCTCAGCCTGCGCCCCAGGAGCCGCAGCCGGAGCCGCAGCCGGAGCCGCAGCCGGAGCCGCAGCCGGAGTTGGAACCCCATCCGGAGTCAGAACCCCAGCCCCAACAGGAGCCTCATCCTGGTGGAAAGAAGCTTACAGAAAAAGAAACAGAACTCACGGTTGATTGCACAACTGAGCACTCAGAAGAGAACCTGACAAGAGCTTCTCAAATCCTTAGCACCATCCTGAATAACTATGACCATAAACTGCGCCCTGGCATTGGAGGTGAGTTCACAGAAGAAAGCCTTCTCCTCTCTTGAAGGAAAAGCAGGTCTCATATGTAGTAGTGGGCAATGAACATGAGTTATAGATGATGGTTCCACATACAGACAGGAACAACTGGAGCTGATCCACCAGGTAAGCCACAATGACTCCTCTAGGTCAACACTTTCCCCCTCAGGTTTTCCAATTCCAAAATAAGATGAATGATCTGAAAGTGTATGCCTAACCCTTACAGTACATTAGCTGAGGCTTTCCGTGGAAGAACAAAGGAAGTAGGACTGGCCCTCTTCCCTCCCTTTTGATGACTCCCTCTTTGGTGGCATGCCTCTATGTGACATTCACCCTGTACTACTTCTTGCCTTACAGAAAAGCCCACTGTGGTCACTGTTGAAGTCTTTGTCAATAGCCTCGGGCCTATTTCCACCCTGGACATGGTGAGTACTGAGCTTTGATGACAGTTTTTCATCAAACTCATTGAGCACCAAGATAAAGAACCTGCCACATACTTTTGCTTTCTGCTCTTCATGTTACTGCTACTACAGGAAGTTGGTTTTTGTTGTGGTTTTGAGGGTCAGGTGGGGATTTTTAACCATAATTAAGCTAAGAACATGAATGGAAAAGGTAAGTCCTTTGCTGTCTGAAGAGGACCTTTGGAATTGTGACTCTAATCTTCAGTTTTTCATTCAAAATAAAAACAATAAAACAACTGTAAATACCACAATGGAATGCCTCTCTTTTGTCTGATTATTTATATGAACTTAAATCTACAGATAGCATTTCTTGCTGTATACCTGTCCCTATAATTTTGTCTTAATTCTTTTATCTCCTTTCCTTTTCACTATTATCAATATGATCCTCAGTTAACCATCATCATCATCTTCTACCTGAAATATGCAAATGTTTCCCTGTCCAGCCCTACTGAGCAAGCTTCCTCAGTGATGTGCCTCTTATATTTATAGTTCAACCCCACAATCTAGCAAGCATGCCCTCTCCTATGACTCTGCTTTTTTTCACCCTACTGAAGTCTATAGACTATGACCACACTATAATAGGCACATTCCTGGACAACCTTGTACCTCAGAGGTGGGCTTTTGTTCAAGTTTGAGATGCCGTTGCTCTACTTTTTCACTCATTCAGGGTCCAGCTCAGATAACACCTGTTTGTGACAACTTCTCTGACTGGCATAGCAACTAATTGATCCCTTCATATACCATACCCTTCTCTGGGCATTCACATCTTTTCTGGCTTTCTTATCTTCCCTAGCTTATTTCATGGTAATTGTTCTATGTTGGTCTTACTCTCTCTGTTATGAAATACTTGATATTAAGAACATAGTATATAGTAGCTGACAAAATGAATTACAAAAGATGCTCTGCAAAATTTAGATGTGCAGTATCTGACAAAGAAAGGTTGTGGTAACCAGTTCCATAATAGCCATGGACTTAGTTTGTCCAAAGGTAGAGCCAGTTTTAACATACTTAAACCTAATAAGCACTGTGTGATCTTGGTGAGGATCAGAGGACTGATGTTGAGGTGGGTGTTCCTAATAGACTCAGAGGTAAGTAACCTTAATGGAAATCAATTTGTTTACATAGAATTAGTGAGAGTGGCTCAGAATTGTTTTTTCCTCTTTATTATGTCATTCTTAATTTTAGCAAGCTGGCTTGTTTCTTTACTAGTAAGCTTCCCACCTTCACGTAGTTAGTGTTGGCTAAATTTCATAGGAGAAATTTATTAGAGAAGAAACCACACACGTTGATAAATACAACAAATGATCCTAAGTTGTTTGGCTCTGTATTCTGAATGAGTGTCCTGTAAACCCAACAAGCAGTGGAAAACTTCTCAGGCAATTTGTGTATATTATAATTTGTGGGAACTAGCTTCTATCCTCTGCAAGAGTCCTTGTGGCAGCAGACTATTAGCCCCATTTATCCACCATCTATCTCTCCTTGTTCAACATCTATTAATCCCTCTAGCATTAGCCTCACCTGAGCTTTTACTTATGCACAATCTAATCACCTAGAATTCACTCAGCTTGATATCATACATGGAACTTGTTCAGGATGGGGATCAGCAGCCTGATTTATCTAACTGATAAGATTTTTTAACCTTCCAAAGCCTTATATGATACATAGTCTCCCCCGAAGTTTCAGCTTCTACATAGTTCCACGTAATTCAAGTCCCTGTTCTTGTTCAGCCTGATTTCCTCTAATTCATTTGCTGAGGAGAACATAGGTGTCTCCCACACAGCCACAGATCATGTCAATGCTCCAGAATGGGTTATCTCTGTTGTTCTTTGTGGCAGCCAAGTATCCTTTTCTGACATTCAACATTTGAAGCAATTGATTGTCTCAGCAAGGTTTGTTGGTCAAAGGAGTAGCAACCCAGTCAGTGGAGTTGGTTAAGTGGACATTTGGCACCAGTCACTTGGACAGATAGAATAGTAGAAAGAAACCTAAAAAAACATTGCATTGTAATCAAATATTTCTACTCCCCTCCTTGTTTAACTCTGAAAACACCCAGTCTGACCTTCAAAGCAGTGACTAGTCTGGAAAAAACTGCATGGTCACAGCATCCCCACTTGCTAATGTTGGCTCTTTCTATGGTAGTTATTGTAGGTGATTCTAATTAAGCCAGTTCTGAAACACTACATTTCTATTTCAGCTCAACTAAAAGAGATCCATCTGTAGTTCCCTGTCAAACTGGGGGAAAATTTAATCACAAACCATTAGTTTTATGTTGATGTATGAGGAATTTATAATTGGTGTCTTCTTAAACAGCAGTAAAATGCTTCTTTTTAATATTGTATAGCAGACCTCCAGCATGGCTGGAGATGAAGGTTTCCCATCGACCACCATACAGTTCATGTGCTAGGATGCAGATAAGACTTTGCCAGCTACTGGGAAGGTGCAAATTCTTTGAAGTCTCTTTGTGAGGGTAGATAGAGTAGGACAGGACAGAACATGACAGGACAGGGCTGGGCAGGAACAGGAGTTCTGCCATTATCTGCCTGCTTTTCTAGTTTATTGTGGTAAACACTTTGCCCTTTACTTTCTTTTCTGGCTACCAGCAGTCTGGTGGCTGCTTCCAACACTTATTGCCCCAGTGCAGTAAAAGCCAGCAGGGATTTTGTTCCCTCTACTCCGAGGGTACTAATGCCCTTTAGCTTCTGGGTCACAGTGTCTCACTCATGATGGACAAATGTTCTATCACTGAGGTATATCATTGTACTCTTTCTGTGATTGTTTTTAACTTTTGAGGCAGGGTCTTACTCATTTGCCCAAGCTGGCCTTGATTCAGCTCAGGCATGACTTAAACTTTTCACCTCCTTCAGCCTCCCAAGAATCTAAGATTATTTGGCCTGTGTCATCAGGCCCATCTGATACTTGTTATTTGGTGCAAGATTATTCAGATTATTCAGGCAAGTCCTGGTGAAGTTGATCTTGACACCCAAAGTTTTTTTTTCTTTTTTTTCTTTTTTTTTTTTTTTTTTGGTGCGAGTGAAGGCAATGACAGGGTAAAGCTATGGTAATGGTGCTCTGAGTGACAGAGCCAGTGTGCTATCACTGGCTGTGTGCCTTTGGACATCTTATAGCTCTGAGTCTCAGTTTACCTACTTCTAAAATAAATTAGGCAACTAGCCTTTAATTGTGCTGTGGCATAGCTCTGGTGTTTGCTTCAAACTGATTACAATTGTATTGCCATCTGCGTATTGCCCTACAAGCTTAAACCATGTGAACTTCTTGCTTTTTATGCTTATTAAACATCCCCCTCGATGTTTAACAGACAGTCTATGGGATCCATAATAACTAGAGACTACATAATCATGGAACTAACTATTCATGTGCACACACTCTTCAGAGATTATATGGGCACTTATTTGAAAGGAAAAATAAAACAAAACACAAATGTAATTCTCCTTGTTAAAAAAACCCACAATAGATAGACATTTTCTTTGTAAATAAAATCATTTCAGTTTAAAATATAATTCTGTGGAATGAAAGGTTGGGTTTAATTAATAGCAGTGATCTATGAATAAAATCTGAAAGAGAACCTTTCCTGTGTACAATGAGTTATGTGTGCTTATACATTTCTGAGCACACAGTGTAGTGGTTGAAAGAGTGTTGACATAGTAAGAGTAGCACTATGGTCCTATATAACTGCAATGACATGCTGAGTTCAGCTGTGTAATGATCCACCATAACACAGGGATTTATTGATGAATGCAATGTGCTACCTATTTGGGAATATTACTCTTTTCAGACCATATGACAATGGAAAATTTCTGCACCCAAACATATGTTGCTTTACTCTTTATAGTCCTCAGTGGATGCAAGCCTAAGGGTCTATCAATGACACAAGGCCTTTGCCTACTGATAGAGGAGAGGCCACAAAAGGAAGCAGAGCTGTTTAAGGGAACTTCCCAGGGAGATGAGGCAGAATACTTACAAGTTTGAGATTATCCCAGGCTTTGTAATAAGATCCTGTATCAAACAACAAAACAAAAAAAATAATGAAATGTCACTTCTGGAGATTAATTCTCCAGAACAGAATTTAGACTTTATATTCTTCTACAAGGCACAAAGGAGTTTTGTATGAGAAGGTAGAAAGTAGGGAACTCATTTGTGGCAACCCTTTCTATAGTTCTGAACTGTGGAAGAATGGTATTAATCACTACATAACGTAGGGACTTAACTCCCTTAGTTGTGGCATTTGAGCTGGACATGACTGACTTCTTGGCTGTGTTAATGTCTGAGTCCCTTTCAGTCCCAACACTGAAAGAATTGGATAAAAAGAAGGAACTCCATCCCTCTTCTGCTTCTTAGGCTAGTGTATCATATATTCTATTATGCTGTCTTCAGGGTTCCCGGTTAAGTAGTGACAAACACCACATTTGCATGTGACTAATCCTTATCTACTTAGCCCCAACTAAATGGTTTTCTGTCCCTTCTCACCAGGAATATTCCACTGACATCATCTTCTACCAGACCTGGTATGATGAGCGTCTTCATTACAATGACACCTTTGAGACCCTTGTTCTACATGGCAACGTGGTGAGCCAGTTGTGGATCCCAGATACCTTTTTTAGGAATTCTAAGAGGACTCATGAATATGATATCACCATACCCAACCAGATGGCTCTCATCCACAAGGATGGAAAGGTGTTGTACTCAGTTAGGTATGTCAAGCCTTTAGTGTTTCATCTCCCAGGACTCTCTCACTCCTTTAACTAAGGACTCTTATGTAGATATATCATCCTGAATAATGTTCCTAAAAGCCTGTGCAACTTTTCTAGACCAGGAATTCAACCTCTTCCTGTGTAGATATAGACACTGAGATCTTAAAATAAAAGATACTACTTAAAGACACATTCTAAGTTTGTGGCAAACTTGGGAGCTGTTATAGGCCCCTACTCTAAAAGGTGCCTGCATGACTGCATTGCCTGGACAGTTTCATCCCAAGTGGGCACTGTATATAAAGACACGTCCACAGTGGTGGAATTGTCCAGGCAGAGTAGAACTACATCAATTGGAAATGTATCCAAGACTAGGCTACATAACTTGAATGCTGGGAAGGAGATTCTTATGTCAGCGGTGTGGGATATGGAGGTAGTGGAGAGTAGAAGAGTGTGGAACAAGAATACTAGGGTTGAGCAAGGAAGAAAAATCAATCTAAGTGGTTCCATGTACTTCTCTGATGATGGAGTCCAGTAGTCAGATGTTAGAAGCTCTTCTTCCTCTCTTTGTATCACTACTTTGAGCTTTTTGTCTTAAATTCTACTGACGCCATTCATTGAAGGTGATCCCCTGGTCAATGTTGAGTGAATATGTAAGTGCTCAGAGCCAGCCTAATATGGCTCCTTTCTCCCTTCCAGGATGACCATTGATGCGAGATGTTCACTCCACATGCTCAAATTTCCAATGGATTCTCACTCTTGTCCTCTGTCTTTCTCTAGCTGTGAGTACCTTCTTAGGTTTCTGAGGACCCAGAGATGCACTGGGCCCCTCTTTTTCTCATCTTTTCCTTTTACATTTTCTGCTTCTCCTTTTTTTCCTGTGATGGTGCCAAGGTTGCTACAAGCCTCCATCTTTCATCATCACTTCCTTTCCTGCCAACAATGCTGTGTTTGCATTACCTTGGCTTTATGTTGGATTCTTCCCTCACCCTTGCTCTACCTTAAGCTAGTCATCTGCTTCTAAAGTGTACCTGAAGTATGTCTGCTCCTCTCCATCTCTGCCTTGATGCAGGGCTTTATCATCTTCTGCTTGAACTTCTGCAACATCTTCACTTTGAAACAAAACATGTCCTAAGCTAAATTCATTGTCTCTCCCCAACTCCTGCCTCCAAAGCAAATGTGTTGCTTCTGTGTTGCCATTGGCCTCATTGAAGGGTGCATCACCCACCCAGTTGTCCAAGCCAACAACTCTGACCTTCTCCTCTCTTTAACCTCCTGCATCTACTCAGTCCACACATACTGTTGGTGTTCCCCTCCCAAATCTCTATTGATCCCACCTATTTCTCTGCATCCTGAGCTTTCATTCCTGCCTTCACTCATTTTATTGTGTCTAGACTACTGCACTGGCATCCCATAACTGGCACCTTGTCAACATAGTACACTTACATTAGAATCAGAGTGACCTAGCTGAAGTACCATATAAACCTGGTCACTTCCTCATTTCAAATATTTTCTTAGCTGTCATAGATCAATTCTAAATTCCTTAGAATGAACTTCAAAGCCCTTCATGACCCGACCCTGCTGTTTCCTGCTACATGACCCATCTGTGAAGTAGTTGCCCTAAAATTTTCCATGTTCACCTTTCTGTGTTTTCCTTTCACTCTCTTCAGCTTCATCTATATGGAGAATGTTTAATTTCAAAATTTAAAGTGAATGCCCCCTGTTCTACAAAGTCTTTTCTGAGTGTGTCCCCAAATGATCTTTCCCTACTTGCCTATTGTTCCATGGGAAGAGATTTTTCAGAACAACTCCAAAAATCACAGCTGTATGGCCTTACTCAGTGAAATGTTAATGCTGGAGGGTAAGTTCATGACTTACTCAAATCTGCATTCAAATACCAGGGCAAATGTATTTATTGAATGGACTTCAACAACCAGGCCAGAGGCAAGGTCCCAAAGCTGGTGAAAAACTCTAAAACATAGCTCAAGCTAACATCATGCTTGTGGGGCACTCAGCTGGGCTTCCTAGATTAATTCACTCCTCTTTTCCACATTGATTTCCAGTTTCCTATGATGCACATGAGATGATCTACAAGTTGGAGAATTTCATGCTCAAAATCGATGAGAAGAACACTTGGAAGCTATTCGAGTTTGATTTTATGGGAGTGACCAACAAAACTGAAATCATCTCAACCCCAGTTGGTAGGTGTGCAGTGGGAGCTCAGGTTGGGCAGACTCTGAGGGAATAGCACCAAGAACTGGAAGTGACTCTTTGTACCAATGCTGTGTAAAGAACACATGGAAATACTGTGTAGAACATTGCTTTCCTCTTATACATGCTAAGTACTTACAGCTGTTTGCAGAGGAAACTGAGACTTTATAGCTATGTCTCAGTCTCATCTACAAAGAAGTCAGTGCTTTGCCAAGCCCCTTGAAAGATGAAGTAAGTGGATACATTTTGTGACTTTTAGAATGTTCATCTACCTTTGTTTTTTAGACCCTTTGGGTTCAATGTCTTTCTTATATTACTGACATACTTAGACAACATTGGAGAGGGGTTACTTATGTGATTTCTCCTAACCCAGAACCATTCCAAGCTGGATGAGTGAGAAGCAAGATCTACCATAGCAGGAGGGGAAAGGGGAATCTAGTATAATAATGGCAGTTAGTGAAGATTATGAGAGTCTGCAGGTAGTTACTCAGCTGCAATAGCTGCTGCAGCAATGTTACCTTAAGCAACTGTGAAAAGCACAGATTGCCACCAAAGGCTTCGGAGTGAAATAAACATAGGCATGGTGATATTTTTATTTTCAGATCTTGTTCCTAGCAAAGATGAAAGGGGCAGATTCTGGGTCTCTTAACTTGTAGCTCCCAAATAGATGTGAGCATCTTTGCTTGTATTCCTAGGTGATCTGAATGAGGAGCCAAGGAATCTTCCCAGGGTAGCTCTGAGAGCAACCCTGGACCCTCTTCACATGTACTGACAAGAATGTGGATGGAACAGGTCACCCAGCCAGCCTTTTGTCATGGGAAGCATTTTGCTTTGCTTCTGTGTGATGACACAAAATCTGTTTTTGCTGCTGTTGATCACTGGATGAGGGAAGCATATGCTCATCTGGCTAAAGCTTTACTTACACAGTAATAGGCAGGGGGTGGATGCTGCTTTACAAATGCTTTTCCTTTTTCCTTGCGGTGTGTGTGTGGGGGTGCTCTGAGAAAGCCACTTTACTTCCTTTGGCTTTGGGATCCTTGCTCTTCTACTAGATAACTATTAATCTGCGTCTTAGTTCTCTGCACCTCAGTTTTTCCAGATAGGTGGAGATCCATCATCAGAACTGGCAGAGGAGACAAGGCCCAGGGGCTTTCAAGTCACTAGTGGTTCCGTTTAGTAGATGGTTTGCACATTGATTCAAAATGGTACCCTAGTGACTACAAAGCCCCAGAGTCTGCATCATCAGTGAAGCAATGGCAGTAGGTAAGCAATTGCTCTCCCTGTGGAGAAAGGAATAGGTCTTTTTTCTCTTCTACTAGAGACTACTTGTTCTTAATTCATGATTTTTCCACTGCCAGAGTTATCTTTGAAACAGGTCCTAACTCTCCCAATTCAACACTGGGGCAGTTCTTTCCAGCTAGAGTTTTCAGGGTTTAGAATGCAGCAGTGCCCTGCAACTTGGGCAGCCTTAGACCTTAGAGGAGAGTCCCTACTTCAGTAGCTGCTCAGAAAGTACAGCCCTGCCTGTAGTAAGTGAACCATCCTTCACTGATGGTTGTTGAGCCTCTGAGGAAATCTTCCCATGATCAGGAGTTCACTGCAAGAAGACTTCTTCCTTTTCTAGACAATTCTTCCCATCAGAAAATTCTTCTTGTTCATCTGCAATGAGAGTCTCTGGGATGTTTACCCATCAACCTAGTTCTTTTCCCGTTTAGCTACCAATTTACATTAACTGAAGTCACTCTTCCAATAAGTCAAATTTAAAGACCTAGTGTTACTGTCAGAACATTAATTTGTATTCTATCGAGACTATGCTCCCCAGTTCCTTTACTTCCCTTTCTCTTCAGTGCCATCAGCTCAGGAGTCCTCTGGACAGTCTTTTAATTGTGTCTTTTTGACAGTGCTACTACCAACCCTGATCTGGACAAAGCAGGTAAGAGCAAAAATCATCTTTAATACATTTCATTTTGTCTTGGCTTTCAGCCCTAGACATCTTTTTTACATTGGTGTTGCTTCTTCACTCATCAGAAAGAAGGAAACACATGGTAGTATCCTTCTCTTGGCAAATTTCCAGCTTTTAATAAATGAGGAAGTTTCTTCTTTAGTCAGAATAAATAAGATTTAAAGAACGAGAAATCCAACAGCATAATAAATCTTGTGACAACGATATAAATTCAGATGTGAAGTGGCGACAGCCAATTAAGGGAGCTTTAAATCATAGTCAAGACTCCAGGGCAGAAGAACTAATAATTTGATTATTCTGGCTAGTAGCATATGGTGGTCCTTGGTGCAGTGCTGGAGGAATTATAGCATTAAAGATACTACTATTCAGGAAACAAGTTTCCACTGACCCTAGACCACGTTTTGCCTTTTCTTTGAAGAATCTAAGAAGCTTTGTTCATCCAAGGTCAGTGCTTCCAACACCTGGAGAAAAGGCTCTCTTTAGGCACTGACCTATCCAGACTTGCCAGGCACCTGGTCTGTTTCCTGTAGAGTCTAAGGTGAGGACAATTAGTGTTTGAGTCTGCTTTCCAAGGCTATTACCCCATGGGTAGCAAACATCACTGAATATCATTGCCTTTCATGTTGTTCTAGGCTTGGTTGGTTAGGAATTAAGCTGAAGGCTTTACATGAGCCCTTTCTGGAAGGGACTTGAAGGTACACTTAGTTTAAAGTCACAGAAGTCTATAGCATTACAGAGGTGGAAATTCAGGGCTTAGCTTCACAGAAAAGCTATAGTTGAAGCAATTTAATGTCCACTGTCATGAGGAGAGTAAAAACGATGCTCTGGGCAAACCAAGTATGAAGTCATAATACCATGAGGAGTGTTAGGAACAGCATGTGTAACAGAGTATGCCAGCTGGAAATACAGGTTTGATCAGCCTCTGACAGATCTATTCCTATCTAGAGTAAGAACAAGAAAAGATCAGCATGCCCAAATGAATCTGAAAGCCTAAGCTGCCTTGGGACTGGATATTCTACAGACCTAACATCTAGAGATTAACTGACATGTTCATTTTTAGCTAATTCTTCTATTTTACTAGGTTAGGAGTAATATATTAAGAACAAGGAGTCTAGAATTTGCTTACCAGGATAAATATGTAGGCTATCAGCTTCAATTAGGTTTGGGTAAGGCATGCATGTTATGTGTATGCATGCATGTGAGTCAGATCCAGAAGTTAGACCTTAGCATCAGAATAAAGATTGTAGACTTTATTGTGAGGCTCATATATAGCATAATATGTCATATTTGGCTAACCCAAGAGGGCCTGCTATAAGGGTTAGCAGTGCAGATGTAATGTTGTGATATCACAAACTATACATGGCATTTCTCTAAGTAAGCGAGTCTCAGCTAGCCATCAGCTGTGAGGTCTTGATATCAAGGTCACTTAAAAAAAAAAACAACTTTTCTCTCACTGCTGATACTCTGGAAAAATAGACTTGGGTTGAGTGAATCAATTAACTCAAAGAAGATTCATTAATATTCTTATGCTGTCTTATCTCTCAACTGCCCTCTGGGCTTCTACTGGGCTGTACTGAAATAATGTGCCTTTATTCTAGAACTCTGATATGGTGTCCCATGAGCTGGACAATGGAATCCATGATATATATGCAGTGCTAAACATCAGGCCAGTACTGCAATGCAGTGGTGTGTTTTATGTCTTTCAGGTGACTTTATGGTCATGACTTTCTTCTTCAATGTGAGCAGGCGGTTTGGCTTCCTTGTTTTTCAAAACTATATCCCTTCTTCTGTGACCACAATGCTCTCCTGGGTCTCCTTCTGGATCAAGATAGAGGCAGCTGCAGCCAGGGCCTCTGTAGGTAAGAAAGTGGGCATATGTCAGAGAGTTATCTTGACCAAGGGAAATATCTGCCTTCTGCTATCCTGTAAACAGTGTAAAGCATGGGTCAGGAGCTTAGCCCACCTTCACTCCTTGCTCTTATAGGGGTCAGTTCTGTACTCACCATGGCTACGCTGGGCACCCTTTCCCGTAAGAATTTCCCTCGTGTCTCCTATCTCACAGCTTTGGACTACTATATTGCCATTTGTTTCGTCTTGTGCTTCTGTGCTCTACTAGAGTTTGCTGTGCTCAACTTCCTGACCTACAATGAGACGAAACAACCGGCTTCTCCAAAGCTCTACCATGTAAGAGTCCGGTGTTGGTGTGGGAGGCAAAGCTTTAGAATGAAGGTACTAGGCACATGTGTGACTAGCTTCCCAAGTGATGGAAAGTTCCCTGGGGTCATGGAGGAAATAAACCTCTTGGTGTGATGGTGGAAATCCTGGAGGCCCAGAACTGGTGTGGCAAGTATAGTTTATAGGAAATTCTAGGCAACCTTTACTCTTGATTCACATCCCCTTGATTGTTTCTCCTTTTTCTCTATTTCAGCTTCCAACCAGTAGCTGTGCTAATACACGTACTCGTGCCCGTGCCCGCACCCGTGCTCGTGCCCGTGCCCGTGCCCTCCAGCAGCAGGAAGTGTTTGTGTGTGAGATTGTCACCTATGAGGGGAATGCTGAAGAGGAGCATCAGTATTGCCCAGTCCAGCAGTCTTCAAGCTTCAGAAGACCTCAGTGTCCCCGGAGGCGATGTGGCAGAAGCTATGTGTGCTTTAAGGTTCTCAGAAAGTATTTCTGCATGGCTCCTGGTTGTGGGGGCAGCACCTGGCAGCGGGGCCGCCTCTGCATCCATGTTTACCGCCTAGATAACTACTCGCGGGTGCTTTTCCCCATCACATTCTTCTTCTTCAATGTGCTCTACTGGCTGATTTGCCTTAACCTGTAGGCTCCAGCTGGTAGCTCATGGGGCAGCCTCCCAGTTCCCCAGGAGGTGCCAAGCCCCTTTGCCAAGGGAGTTAGGAGACAAGAGCAACAGCAGCAGGAGTGCCTAGAGAGGGTTTTTTCTTCCCTGGTTCCCAGTATAAGCCTGTGGAGAGCTTGTCTCTGCTGGCCCTCTTTCCATTAGCCCTTTCACTCAATTTTCTCAACAGCCCTTCTCAAGTGACAGACCACCTCTCTATTCCTCAAAGAGCATTCATGATGCTCAGTGTGCCCACATTTGAGCAGATAAGATATCTCTCAATGGTGTTTACAGCTACTGTCTTTCCCCAGAAGCCCATGGTTCCCCATGTGGTGCTAAGGGGCCTAGCTCAGGCTCAGCCCCAGAATGCACAGAGCGACAGTTTAGCAGAAGGAGGGTCCTCATCCATAAGTCTTCAAGTCAGACCATTAGATTCTTGTTTTTTTTTTTCCTGACTCTCCTTCGTCTACACACACACACACACACACACACACACACACACACACACAATCTTTCTAGGAGGTGAGGAGCTGGCAAGTGGGTCTGTTTGGGAAAGTAACCCCTCTCTGCTGCTGTGCCATCTCCTTCTTCCCACCTGCCTCCATCTGCAGTACCAATTCAGTTCCTTTCATCCAATGGGTATCTATTCGTGTGTTCAATGTTAGTAATTTTCCCTGCTTTGTATGCCTCCTTTTTCCTCCTCTTTGACCCTTGTGATTTGTTCTGTAACTTCCCCAGTGACTTGCCCAGCCCTGATCCAGGTGCTAGGCTTTGGTGACTCCCTGGGGCCAAGAAACTGAGAACACTCTGTTTGGCAGCAGCCATTACCTGCCACTGATTGGTGCTCACCTCAGGCACAGTCTAAAAGTTTGACTGCTTTCTTGGCCTCTGGACCTATAAGCCAGTCCACTGCCATCCCTGGGGCACTTACACAATCACAATCAATTGAATTCTCTTAAATTTATACAGAATTTTCCCTTTGGCAAAGCACCTTTGACAAATCATTTCTATTTGGAGTCTTCTTATAGCCCCATGACATCTTTGGGCATAGTTTGTTCTCCATTATGCAGATGGCAACCTTAAGGTACAGATTTCTATAGGACTGTGGATCTTGCTGGAAGCCAATCTGGAGTCCTCTAGTTACATGCTAAAGCAATGACAGGGCTAGGTAGCTCTGATCACCATGACCCAGTTCTGTTTCCCTTGCTGTCACCCTAGTGGCAGGGCATAGAGTAGTGACACCCCCCACACACACACACACACACAAGCATGGGCCTGCTCCCTAACTAGGCCTGAGGTACTCAGACTGCTCCACAGGTTGAACTTTTGCCTCTAGTAACCCAGTGAGATGAATTTGTACATGCCCCAATGCTTGTATATGCTGAACAGAATCTGTGTCTGTAGTTTATGGGGGTGGGTGGGATTGGGAAATCCATTTGCTTTTAGTCACCATCATCTGTAAAGGGGAAATATATGAATAAAGGTATCAGCAAAGCATTCAAGGTGTGGCTGGTTTTCTCCCCCCCCACCAAATCCAAGCTTATTTTTAATTAAAGATATTGTTTGATATAAGAGTATCAAATAATATATAATCACACACACACACACACGTGAATTATATATATATATATATATATATATATATATATATATATATATAGAGAGAGAGAGAGAGAGAGAGAGAGAGAGAGAGAGAGCAATCTGATCACATTCATTACGCACCCATGCCCTCCCTTATCTTCCTTCTGCTCCTTCCAAGCCCACTTCTCCCTCCCATTTTCATGTGTATTTTCTGGTTGGTTGTTTTTATGATCCCATGAGTAACAAGGGTTACCTTACCTGACATAAGCATATTCTCTGGAGTGTGAGGGACACACCAGAAAGCACACATTTGAAAAGAATGAATCCCTGGTTCCTTTTCAGCTGCACTCAACAGCTAATAGTTGCCTGGGGAGGAGCAGGATCCCAGGAGCCCTTCCCTTATCCATGAAGAATGTTGACAGGCCCAGCCTTGTGCAGGCCCAGTATATGTGTCCTGATCTTCTTTGAGTTCATAAGTGCAAAGGTCATGTCATGGGCAGAAAATAGCACTGATCCATCATTTGGCTCTTATGATCAACTCAGACTTTAAATCTTAAGAACAATTGCCTAAACCATTGTTCCCATCTCCTGTCCACTTACCAGACATGTACCAAATACCCTTCTCTCATTAGTAGCAATAAAAGAGACAATGGCACCAACTAGTATATGTGGTTGCCTTCCTACATTCCTGACCTGCCTTCATCCCCTCCATGTTCCTTTTGTTATGCTTTTCACTCCTGCTCCTACCTTATTAGATTAGAAAGTCCCAAGATGCTACCAGCTTCAGTGCTCACATACACCCTGATGTAGAATCCTGTGAAGATGGAGATGCTTTGGCACATAGAAAGAAGACATTTCTTCCTGTAACACAACCCACCAGTAGTAGAGTCTGTCATATAATCTGCCAGTAGTGGAGTGAACTCATATTTCAGAAATCTTAATACCCTTGCCCCAAATAAAAATCATTTGTTCAGCTGGGGACCTAAGTTGTTTACCTTTCAAAATAAGTTTCTGAAGGTATATTGAAAAGTGTTAGCCCTGCTATCCTGTGACATTTCTATATCAAGCAATAACAGAAACCTAGAAAAGACAAAAGTGTCTGGGAATGGTTGACATTTTTGTCATAATATCCTTGGTTTGGAGATATGGTTCAGTTGTAGAATATGTGCATAGCATGCACAAAGTCCTAGATTTAGTCCCTGTGCTACAAAAAGGAAAAAGTACCCCCATCCCTACTGCATATTTTCTGATGTCCTAACCCATTGCAAATAGAAAGTAACACTGGGAACAAAGGAGATGTTTCCTCCCTTTTACTTTTTTTTTAATGTTTCAAGTAGATTTTATTATTTTGGTCACTCTCTTGTTTAGTATAAACAATATTATATACTTATCGTGGTAGTGTCATAAACCTGTAATCAAATAAAATTAAGTCCAAGTTCCACCAAAAGATGTTAAAGAAATAAGCAATTATAACACAGGAGCTGAGAGAAGGCACTTAAATGCACACACCTGAAGAAAGACTGTCACGCTTCTCATATTTAACCATGCGGGTTATCATCCTTCTAACTCACACACATTTTAGTTGGCTTACAAAGTAATGGCTTCCATATGAGTTTTTGTCATATACCCTTTTTTTGTGGTTAGCTCTCCTTTATTTCCTCTTTGCCTCCTCCATCCCCTCCATCCATGCCTTCATAATCACCCACACACCCCAGGTATTCTCTTATCTGTTTCCATATCACCTGCATTCTGCTATGCTTCATCCCTTGAGGTATTCAACCAATGATCTTTTTCAGGGGCCCTATATTCTACAAGTATTTCATTAAGCCCACATATCTAAAGATTTGAAGGTGGGCTCTATAAAGAGAATGTGAGGCATTTGTCAGTTACTGCATTCAGTATAATTTTTGATGGGATTGCCCTGATTATGTAGATTATTTTTTGATTGAGTGGCCATTTTTACAACGTTGCTTCTGCCAATCCATGAATATAGGAATTCTTTGCACTGTTTAGTATCTTCCTTAATTCTTTCTTCATTGTTTTAAAGTTTTCATTACAGAGGTTCTTTATTTCTTTAGTTATATTTTCTCTGAGGTATTTTTTTTGAGGCTGTTGTAAATGGAATTGTTTCCCAGATTTCTTTCTTGGTGCATTTGTAACCAGTATAGGATGGTTACTGATTTTTGTAGATTAATTTTGTATCCTACCATTTTGCCGAAAGTATTTATCAGATATGAGTTATTTGATGGTGTCTTTAGGAGACCTTGATTTGGGGGATGTGGGTATGTGGGGTGGCTTGGAAGGGAAGGCTGGAGGATGGAAGGAGGGAGAAGGGGGTGTAGCAGGAATCTTAAAGAGTCTTATTAATAGAATTAAACCTGGGCCAAGTATTGGGATGAACACTGGAAGATCAGAGAGACAGAACAAGCCACAGCTAACCACACCTCGCTGGATCATCAGCTGGTCTTGTTTCCTCAGACTGGAAGCCTCTGAGTCCTCATCCAGAATGGTTCTCAGCTGAACTGCTGCTAGACGCCTGAAAGCTTAACCAGCAAAATGCTTATCCAGGCCAAATGCTTCTAGTTTCTGCTCCTCACGCCTTATATACCTTTCTGCTTTCTACCACCACTCCCTGGGATTAAAGGCTCGCTTTCTGGGATTAAAGGCATGTGTCACCATGCCTGGCTGTTTCCAATGTGGCCTTGAACTCACAGAGATCCAGAGGGATTTCTACCTCTGGAATGCTAGGATTAAAGGTATGTGTACCACCATTTTCTAGCCTTTGTATCTAGTAGCTGTTCTGTCTCTGACCCCAGATAAGTTTATTAGGGTGCACAATATTTTGGGGAACACAATACCACCACAAGTATAGACATACATAAATAAACTATACATCAAAATCGAGTTTAAGAGTACAATTAAAATGACTGAGTTTCTTGTCAAGCAATTAGGAGTTTGAATCCATTTATGATACAGCCACACAAAAACCCTCTCTGCAGCTGTTATTTAAAGTCTCAAACACATTTATATAGACAAAAAGACATAATTATTAAGTCAAAGAGAAATCAAACTGCAATGGACCCAATTTAGTATTTTATCACTGAAATGTACCATTGGTGTACATGTATCTGTAGCTGGAATTTTCTCTCTGGGTCCCGCAAGCCCCAGCAGTCCGTTAGCCCACTTATAAAATAAACATACAGATGCTTATATTATTTAAACTGCTTGGCCATTAGCTCAGGCCTATCATTGTCTAGCTCTTACTCTTATATTCAGCCCATTTCTATTAATCTATAATTGGCCACATGGTTCATGGCTTATTGGTACCTTACATCTTCCTTGTCCTGGCGGCGGTTGGCAGTGTCTTCCTCCGCCTTCCTGTTCTCTCAATTTGGGATTTTGTTTGGTTGGTTAGCTTTTTTCATATGATTGTGTGTGGTGCATGTTGGTGTATAAGTATTCATACATGTGTGCACATGCTTGTGGATGCCTGAAGTTGATGCTGAATGTCTTCCTTAATCTCTCTCCACTGTGTTCATTGAGGCAAGATCTCATGGTGAGTCCATTCTAGCTAGCTAACTTGTTTCAAGTCCTGAGATGACAGGCTGGCTGCCCTAATACTCACATATAAAAGTATTTTATCTACTCGGCCATCTCTTTAGTCCTTGTATTTTTTTATTATTTATAATAATATGTACTGTTTTTGTTTTCAACAAGAAGCACATGTCTTCTTTAGAGCAAGAAATAAACTAGCATTGTCATTATCATAACTGTAGAACAAATGGCACGGTGAGACAGAAATTAGTTAGTACTCATAAAATGAGTTGAGTCACAAGAAAAGGTATTTAATATTGTTGGCTAAATAAAATGAATAAATATTTTCTTCTCAAATAAACTTTCTACTCAGTTATAACAGAAGCAAGCTTGTCTTCCCCCAATACCCTTTTGTATACATAGAGAGAACTAGAAATATCAGTGAGTAATCACATCCTCAATGTAACATAGACATTCTTGATTTTTCACATGCATGTCAGCAAGGAACATTTAAACTCACAAACAAATTTACTCCTCTCTGAAAATCAGGAAGTGACTTTATAGCTAAGTGTGTAACATCTGCACTGTCTAAGAGGCCAGGGACTATAAGAAGAGCCAGCCCATTCCCTTCAGATAGCTCAAAGCACAGAGTCCCAGGGATGGGCACAATTTATCTCTCAAAATCAATGGTCTTGTCATTGAGTATTTATTTTCCAGGTATTCTCTCTGATTTGTAGTTTGATGGTCTCATCTCCTCTATTCTCCCCTTTAAAGACCAGAAAAATTGGGCCCCCAAAACCTAGCTGGGAGTGGGGAAAGTTCCACGGGCCTGACTAAGGAAGTCAAGACTTCTATACACCTAAGCAGATAGCAACAAAGGTTACTGTAGATTCATGCCATTGTTTTATGGCTTGTAACATCACTACCTACAAAAGATATGATGAATATAAACAGTGAAGACTACTTAGAAATTCCTAGTTTAGTAGAGAAATATGCAGAAAAATGTTTTGAAAAATTGATCAGCATCATGAGTATGTGTGACAGGGTGGCTTTTGCATTTTATAAAATCAGATGGGATCTGTCTTTGTATTTACAGGAAAAAAGCTTGCAATTCATTAATGATCTCAGGAAATCATCTCTATAGTTTGCAATGGATTCCAGTACAAAGTACCATGGATCATATTGTCAGCAAAGTTGTTACTTTGGAGGCTTCTTTGATTTGTAGATGGGCTAGGCATTTTCTTCTTCTGTCTTTCAATTTATTTGTGTCTAATC